ACTTACTTAATACGGATAATAAACCTCCAGGTAGTGCCGATGTCAAGAAAATGTGGATCTATACATCCGCTTTTCCATACGCCTTCATGGTGTAGTGCTTAATTAGTTAAGCACAGGAACAACTATACCTTCTTTACTTGAAATTCACATCATTCAGTTCCTTTCTTGTGGATGTCTTAGACCGCAGAGCGGGATGACAAATTCTCCTGTCAGTTTTATGTCTCATATGTACTCCGGGTTATCATATCACCTACGAGACTACACGGTATCATAATTAAAAAAACTACAGCCTTAATTTTACAGCCGTGAAGACAATAGATAGCATCTGCATTCTTAATTGTTTAAAAATTGAAAGTGACAGGAAGCTGTCTTATTACTGTTACCGAATGTATTCGCTATTCCATGGTATTCACATTAATGAGTTTAATTTTGATAAAAATTTGCATTTTGCGTTACTTTTGCCTTCAGACCTACTTTCTATTTTGGAAATGCATTCTCTCACAATTATAATATATGTTGTCCAACCTTTCGGAACCATGAAGTGCATAACGCTGGGCAGTGCATCATAATATTTGGTCAGAAATAAAAGTGTTAAGAATAGCCATTTCCCTCTCTGTTAATTATCACGCCCTTAAGGAAGTTACGTTTTGTGACCAATATTATCTTTGCTTGCTAGAATACCGCTCCACACCAAGCACTTCGAAGCTGTTGATTAAATTATGACGACCGTTGCAGCCTAACTGGAGGTCGTGTGTAACTTAAGCATATGAAAACGATTCCCAAGAGAGTGAAGCGGAGCACAGGAACTCCGTCACAGGAAGTCGCGTGGCAGATTGAAGACTAGTTCTCGTCGGTAATGTTGTCATATACAGAATTAAAGAGAGGAGCCGGGAGGGGTCAGAGAGACAGTCTACTTCAAAGACGTTATATTAACGGACTTAGAACCGTATTTCAGTAGATAAGAGACACGAGTGATACTCAAAAGACGTGTTATAAAGTTTTTCAGTCAAAATTTGATACGGAATGTCTCAAAACTTCGGACGCGTGACACACCAATGTCTGAACATTACCGAGGTTACTGGCTTAGAACCTTTGGACTACATCTGCATGTTAATTAAATATTTATCATCGTGCATTTTAGGACTTTCACTGAATTGTGCTAGTACAGTGCTCTTCTTACCTCTAAAACTTGCACTGAAATCGAATTAAAGATACATTACGAAAATTGTTCCCATCGGATAGTACAACGTGCCGTCTGTGTGGAAATTAACAATCTGGTTTGAAACTAATGGAGTGTGGTGAGACAACAGCCAGACTCTCGCAAAAGAATATAAGAAAATTACCATAACATGATTTTTAATATAAAAAGTAAAAAAAAAAAAAGTATGAATGAATATATAAGGGTTGGGCCTTCTCGGCCCTTGCACCGCGACCTACAGTAGTCTATTGTGCTAAAAAAAAATAAGTAAAGGTACCCCTGTAACAGGCCCTAGAGGCCCATAGGGTTGTGAGAGGTCGAGGCTCCCACATTTTCTAGACAGTCGGCTTACAGATGGCGGTGAGATTGTCAGCCTTACGCGCCGGCCGCCCTTTACTCCCAAGAATATTCCTGGTACTAATTTCTGATAGAGGCTGGAAGGATTAGGTAAATTAAAGAAAATCCACCTCATCGGGATTCGATCCTGCGACCTTCCGGCTTGTAGCATAGTGCCTCAACCAAATACGCTACCGCGTGCCCCCGATATTTAATATATAGACCCAGTAAAATTCTTCCAAAACAGGTCTGTTCCTTGGAACAGATATCGTAATGAATACGTGTTTGCTATGAAAAAATGCAAGTAAAATAAATAAGTAAGCAAATTATAATTTAGTACGGAACTTGTTCCAGTTTTACATGCATGCGTTTAAATTCCGATGCGTTTTGAACATTTTCATAACAATCTTATATTTTACGGTGACGAGTTGATAGCAACACTTCCAACCCCCAAGCTGGAGGACCACCCCTTGTCGGCTGTCCACCACTGCATATTCAGTATATTTGCAGCTTCCCTCCATACCTGGAGGGCGTCTCCTCTATCTGCAACCTGAGGACGCGCCATGGCGTGGGTGTTGAGAATATTTGGACTGAAGAGAGGAAGTGACAGTAGGTTGGAGAAAACTGCATAATGAGGAGCTTCATAACTTGTACTCTTCCCCTAGTATGATTAGAATAATCAAGTCAAGAACGATGAGGTAGGCAGGGCAGGTAGTATGAATGGGGGCGAAGAAGAATGCCGATAGGTTATTAGCGGGAAAGCCAGAAGGAAAGAGACTACTGGGAAGAAAAAGGTGTAGGTTGGTGAACAATATTAAAATAGATCTTGGAAAGATAGGATGGGATGTTATGGATTGGATTGATCTGGCTCAAGATAGGGACCAGTTGGGGGGGCTCTTGTGAGCACGGTAATGAACCTTCGGGTTATATAAAATGCTGGGAAATTCTTGGGTAGCTGCAGAATTGGCGGCTTTTCAAGAAGGGCTCAGCTCCCTGAGTGAGTGACACACATTGAAATTCCGCTCCGTTACGTAGCAGCACTGCACTGACGACGCTGACCATAACAACTGCTTCCGCTAGGTGGTAGCCACTGCTAACTCAATGATCTTTGAGGATCATTGAGCACGCACATACCTCGTAAGTACATTTGCCGTGTCTTCCTCACGAGCATATAATGACAGCGGTTTGCGATTACCTCTGAACGTAAAATTATTCTTGAAACAATTTGATCGGTCAGACCTGTCATTCCACTAAATTTACCTATGAGATATAGAATCAATTATGGTTTGCGGGAAGAGATTAGGGCGGGACCTCATTTAAATTTGGTATATTTGTAGAAGCGGGGTACGCGGTAGCGTAGTTGGTTGAGGCACTATGCTACAAACCGGAAGGTCGCGGGATCGAATCCCGATAAGGTCATTGGATTTTTTTTTTTTTCAATTGACCAAATCCTTCCTGCCGCACTATGGCCCTGGTGTCGACTAACAGAAATGAGTACCAGGAATATTCCTGGGGGTAAAGGGTGGCTGGCCGGTCACGGTAGCCGAGTGGTCTAAGGCATGTACTGTCGTCGCTCGCTTGGAAACCGGGATTGGGGGTTCGAATCCCACTCAGGGCATGGATGTTTAGTTTGTGTGTGTGTGTGTGTGTGTGTGTGCATTTTTCTGTTTGTGTACAGGTAGAGGCCTTGCGACGAGCTGATCACTCGCCCAAGGAGTCCTACCGAATATGTAAGATCTAGAAAAACCGAAGTGAACGGAGAATTTCATGGAGGTAGGCCTAGGCCCACTGGGGCTGTAGTGCCAAGGAAAAGAAAAAGGGTGGCCGGCGCGTAAGGCTGACAACCTCACCGTCATCTGTGAGCCGAGTGTCTAGAAGGTCTAGAAAATGCGAGAGCCTCAACTTCTCACGACCCAATCGGCCTCCACGGCCTGTTACAGGATACCTTTACTTTTTTAACTTTATACTTCACCTTGATAACACGGCGGATTACATGGTTTGCATGGCAGTACGCATGCGTATCGCAGCCATGTTGATTAGTCAGTGAGTCGTTTGAGTGGTGTGAGTCATAGCCTTGAAAGCCGTAAACGGCCGTGAAGTATGTTTTGAAATTGAGAACGTGTTTAGAAATGGTGGCGTTATTATCCGTTCTTATCAATCTACCCCTTATTTGCCTTCGCAATCTGGAACAAGTATGGTAGACTATTGATAGGCATTATGAGTATTTCGCTTGTAGGTGATAAAGTAATTTTGCAAGGAAACGTCAAGATGGAAGGGCAAGGGAACGGAGTACCATACAGCAAAACCGGGGACAGGGACCAAGATGAGGTAATGAGATTGCATGATTTGTGAAGGCGTTGCGGTGGACAAAACTTAAGAAGCCATAGGGTGATTTATAGTGTCAACTGTACTCGCTTCACTGTAACTGTACATAACCTATTCTTGTACAGTCAATAAACTATCGTACATCTTCATTTTATGTTATTAACTTCCACCACAGTGGGGAACCAGCTAGGCTGGAAAAAACGAGTAACATGAAATTATAAAGAATACGGGTTTTGGGTTGAAAAGGCCGTGTAACACTTAACTTGCCGCCTGCTTCAGATTGTTTCTTGTATGTCTCGCGATGAAGAGCCCACAGTACACACTAGATAGTAGGCTGGCTGGGCCCCAGAGCCAGTCTAGACACTGGAGAAGAGAAAAATCTTCCCCCTGCTAGGAATTGAACCCTGACTGTCCAACCTGTAGCCCATCACTATACCAACTGAGCTATATATGAGAATATCTTTCAGACTATGGTCTTCTGGATTGTGACACCAAGTAGTCTTGTAGGTGGATGTGAGTGTTCTGGAGGAACATGCTGCCTACACCTTCAGGGTCATGACTGACAAGACTGGTTATTGTCACAACCCAGAAGACTGATTTTATGTTATGTTTCTTAATAATATGTTAATGAACTGTTAGAATATTAGAAACTTGACAGGCCATGATATAGCTGAGGGTGTTAAGCATCAGCTTCCCAACATAGAGCAGACCACATGGAGTCTGATGGACAAATTGGCACTGGATCAGGGTTTTCTCCGGGTAATTCCACAAATCCACCTCTACAGGATGTAGAAGTCATTTGTATTTTGTTGAGTACTTGGCCACACAGGTCAGTGAGTGAAGGGGGTTGGTGATGCTGCCACAAAAGAAGCCACTCAGTCCATTAACATCAGCCTGAGTGCTGGGTAATAATGATGTTTGTGCCTGTGTTCATCAAGCTGTTTTGTCATTGTAGCAAGATGAATAGAAACAGACAGTGGGCAGTGGTGAAACTGTGTATGCAGGTGTGTGGGATTCTTACACAGCACAAACAGGGCTTAAGAAGGTTATCTTGACATGACCAGACTGTCTCACTCATCTTACTCGTGGCCATCTCTGAAATGGTTAATGGTTACCTGGTGTGTGTTTCT